TAAATGTAGTGAAGAATTTTGTATTTGTCCTAATTAGGACCACACTGTTTCTTGTTGTTCTTCTTCTTCTTCTTTTTCTCCTTCTCCTCCCTCTTCCCCTTCCTCTTCTTCTTTCTACTTTTGTGTGTGTGTTTTCAAAGGCAGAGACACACAGAGACAGAAAGAATTTCCACCCACAGTTTGCATTCCACATTTGGTAATAGGAAAAGCAGCCAGGTGAGGCTCAGTAGCTCACAATGTCGTCCTCGTCACCCTCATGGCTGGTGAAGACCTGAGCTTTTGACACATCATCACTGCCTCTCGGGGCTCACAGAGCAGGAAGCTGCAGGCCAAAGCAGAGCTTGCCCTTGAACTCAGGCACTATGACATGGAATGTAAGTGACCAAGGAACATCTTGCATGTTTGTTCTTGAACTCCTGAGGTTTTGTTATCAGGACTAAGTTGGCTTTAAAACAATTTTGGAGTTACTTTATCTTTATTTTCTAGAATTATATTATTATTATTGCTTTTTCTTTCTCTTTATTATTTCTCTGCACCTATCTCTCTGTCTTCTGAATAAGCAAATAAAATATTTTAAAAACTATATAAAGCAAATGAATTTAAGACAAAGTCACAAAGACCAAAGCTGAGTATGTATTATAGACTTTAATGAATAATGCTATATGTTTATAAGCTGTTAATAATAGACATAATTTTATGTGGGAGGATTGAAGTATTACATGGGGATTTTCTGTACTTTTTATTTAGTTTTTATCCAAATGTAAGATTGCTTTAAAAATGCAGTATATTATTTTTGGAGTAGCATGTTATAATCGCAAATGTACAGGTCTGACGGGTGAGATTTCTTCCTCTTTGTTTTCTTAGAAGTAACTATATGGAGTTGAGATGAATTTTAGGAAAGCACAGGTGCCAAGGATCTGTGGTCCACACAATCCAGTCCTGAGATGGCACAGCAGCATCTCTTATAATCAAAGACAGAAGATGCAGAATTCTTACAAAAATATACAATTCCTCCCTTATTCAGGGAAAACAAGTCGACTTTTATGTTGTTGGATTTTAGCAGTAGTAACACTGTTATGATATTTTGTGATTTTCAATAAACCTTCACTTATACAGTATTTGTCATATATGTTGTTTAACCTGCTATCCACTACCAACCATTTGATAATTCAACAATGCTTTGCTGTTTTCAAGTTCAGCTGTTGTCTATCCTTGTGCTGTTTACCCTGATTCAGGAGTAAGTGACTCCCTTAGAGAACAGAGGTTGTGTGGCTTAATAAACAGAGCACTCAGTGAATCAGTTTTACAGTTGGAGAGGATTTTCGACATTAATCAGTTTTAATGAGATGGAAACATTGGAGACCTAACCAAACTGGGACAGTAAAATGTTTTTGATGCTACTTATACCTGATATCCCTAAAGAAAAATCCAGAAATAGCAAATGGTAGTATTCTAACAGCCACTCAATTCCTAAATGAATCAATTGTTCCTTAGCATCCGCTCTCAGATTCACACTCGGTTGCCCATTCTTGTAAACTGCTGTTTTCTTCACCAATACAATCCATTTATATGTTTTAAAAACATTTACTTATTTGAAATATAAACACTCAAACACATCGAGAGAGACACAGAGAGAGGGGCGGGGGGAGAGAGCACTTCCATTTGTTGAGTTACTGCACAAATGGCTGCAATGGACATGAACTGCGTCTGAGTCTCTCAGCTTCCAAGTTGAGGCTCAACCTGCTGGACCACAGAGTCAGTGTCCTCCCTGTGCCTTTCTTAAGCCATGGTTTTCCTGCAGGAATTTGTGCTCTTCCAACTCCCAGAAACACTTTTTGGAACACCATGTATCTCTTTCAAACCATAAGCTTTCATTACGTATGGAACATTTCTACCCAAGAGACCCCCCCCCCCTTTGATTCTCAGCTACCTATCCATAAGGATGGACCCAATGTCCGTTAGTACTGTTCTGTTTCTTGCTTTTCTACTCTGAGCACATCATACACAATTTCTTCTTATTGTCTTTCTTCACACTGGGCTCTCAGATATGCTCCTTATATAATGGAAGGGTATCATTTCCTCAACCCCAGCTGAATTTCTTCCTACCCTACAAAGTCTTTCGTGAATGGTACAGGCTAGTATGAAAGAAATTCCAAGTTTATGGAATATGGATATAAAAATTAATGTATACTTGCCATTAAATGTCTAAAGACCACTCATACTTCCTGCCTTCAGTGAACTCACTCAAGCACTTGCTGGGTGACTTGTATAAGTGTTATACCCTTAATTTGATTTAAAATTTACATAGCGCTTCTCTTGACTCTCTCAAAGTTAGGGACCTGTTTAAGTGGTTTACAGGATATTGTACTGAATGATGGCCAATGGAAGTTTTTTTTCTGTGAAACACAGTAAGATAAGATACATCATCATAGATTTAAAATCAGAATATTATAGTTCCAACCTCTCTTGCCACGTTCCAAAAACAGAAAATATTTTAATGCTGAGTGAAACTTCCTTGAAAGAATGTTCTTTTGGCATGATCAAAGTACTGAATGGTCTATTTGGCACTGCAAGGTAAACTTCTGTGAACAATTTTCTGACACCAAAACCACTTTGGATTTCCTTCTTGTATATTTTATGAGAATTTTTATAAAACCTGTGGGGTTGTACAGTAAAATTTTTATGTGAATAATATCTCTAGTGGTGTTTTAATATTAAAAATGAACACTGTTCATTAAATGTTATTTTGTACGAAGTAATTGACAATTTTGTCTTTACTTTGTACATTGACAATTGCACAATCTTGAGATTTAAGCTTTATATCATCTTGTCATATCAAAATTTATACTCTGAACTTTTCTCTCCCAAAAAGAATATGCTTACAAGGACTGACAAAAGTATGGTATGATTGGATATTTTCCATTCCTTTTCACAATGACTTATATACCAAAAATAAAGTATGAAGTGTGTTGCTTTATAGCATATTTCAATGGTTCTTCTAAAATTCATGATAGTCCTGGGATAAGTATCAATCAGATACACCAAAATGAATTTGCTTAATATGCTTATTCTGTTTGAGCTAGGAAAAGAATGAAAGCTATATATCTTTTCAATAATTTTAATACAAGTTCAATAAAGTATAAATACTGTGGACCATAAGCTGTTACAAAATTTTTGCTATGAATTGGAACATTATAATAATCAGTATTTTGATCATTGGACAACTGGAATAGCAGTTACATAAATATAATCATATTATTTACAGAGAGGGAAATTCATTGTCCATCCAGGGCAGAAAAACATTTTCTTTTCCTCTCATAACGCATGGTAACGTGAACTGAGACCACAGATATTGTTGAAGGGCTAATAAAAAAATTTAGTGAATACATATTCAAACCTTACTCATGTCTTTCCCTATCAAGTGCAAGCAACAATTAAGATGAATGAGGAAAGTGTAGTGTGTTATATCATAAGATAAATGTGAAGGAAATAGAATTTGCAAGATATATTTCAATAGAATAATTTAGCCACTCTAAAAATTCTTGTATTGCTACCTCTAGTTAATTATCTCCCCTCACAGCACTTAGTACACCCAGCATCATTCTACTTCATTCCAGGGCTCTTTCTGCTTACCCATTTCGGCCATGAAACAATACCTCATCAGCACAGGTTTTTTCACCTTGAATGTCTCTGATGCTTGAAGAAACACACGGAGCGAACAAAATACTAATGGATGAACAGTTTCCCGAGTCTTATTACACAGAGTCATAGTATTGGAAAAAATTATATAAAATGCAGAGTTGAGTTTAAAATCATAAGGAATAATGATAAAATGTAAGAAGTATAAAAAGTCTTTATCATAAAAGGGTCTCATTTCAGCATCTTGTTTCGTAGTGGCAGAAATCAAGTGATTTGTCAGGTCACAGAACTTTGGTACTGAGAAAAGACAAGACCCAAAAGATGCTAGGGCAAGAGTGAAGCCTAAAACCTTTACTCATTAAGAGCCATAAATTCAGACTACTATACTATGTTAAAGCTAGACATAAAGATGAAATTGACATATACACACACTCATTGACATGCACATGTATGAAATAGACATGCAGTCAAAACTGAGCATAAATTTATTTGCACGCACACATTATATAAATATATAGCATACAGAATGGTAAAATATGGCACAAAACGGTAGTCATTATTGCCTCATAGAAGAATCAGCGAAGTGGCAATATTTAAAATATACTTTAATATCTAAATTCTACTTTCTTTAGTTTTTATTCTAATACATTGGAATCTTCAAAATCAATCCAATTTTGTATTAATTTCATTCTCTAAGATTTCATATCTAAAATGTTTGCAGACAGCACTAGTTTTGACTCTCCAGCTAAACAGCCCTAAATCCTTAGTTGTCAAAATCTGTTGAAATCACACTGGCCCTTGAATATTACACGGACGTAATACCCAGAATTAGACACAACGTTCTAGATGCAGTGGAAAGACGCCCAGTGAAGCTGTTAAATATATCTTAACAATAGCATGCTGGACTTTCTACCATTGTCTATACCTACAATGCCATGATATACTTAATTAGCAGAATATTGGACTTGTGATTGCTCCTGAACGAATAGACTACTTTAATAATATGGGGGAAACACTTTGAAGGAATGGTGAGTGGAATAAAGAAACATTGTCCTTAAAGCGGGAAACATTAACCAATCTCCTTAAAGAACTATATGTATATTCTCTGAAAGCAAACTTTCATTCTCACATTTAACTTACAATAAATTATTGTAGCTTTGTCATTTTTATATGCTACTGCCAAACCAGTTCATTTATTCCTTATTTATGCTGTCAAATTTTTATGTCCGATCTTCAAATTGTAAATGTACTAACTGCTATACAGTTCCTTTTACAGTGGCACTGTCACAGAAGGTACTTATTCTGAAAATAAAACATTTAATTGAAGGTGGGAAGTATGCATTTTCAGACACACAGCTTACCTATACAAGCCTGGAGGCACCTGCTTCACCAGGAAGCTTTTCTCCATTTCTTGAAGAATGTCATTCAGCATTCGCACCCGGATGGGCGCTCTCTCCTTGGGATCATTTGCAGGTCGCATCTCATCTGACTGGAAGAGTTCAGTAGTCTCCCGCAAGCGTGATGCCATAGCTAGCAGCTGTTGAGTACCAGGCTGATCACCTGATGAAGAGGGATGAGCACATGTTATAACAGGCATCCTTCCATACTGAAATATTAGACAATCACGTCTCTAAGCTTCATACGAGGCAGACTTTAGGGTAAAGAGGACATTCTCTCTGTTACTTGACAAAAAAAAAAAAGTACACTATATTGATTCTTATCCATCCTAGGAAAGATTCAATATCAAGTATATGCTGATGGTATATTTCCTCTGCCACAAATACCTTGCCTAGACTTGCTTTTGTATTAAATTAGGTTTCTTGTTTCTATTAATATAGTATCTAGATTGTGAGAGCTTGCTATGCTTTGCTCACTGTATTGATTAATTTGATCATGATAAACATTTTATTATGATATCCATTTTACTGCAACTGCATATTTGTTAAAGAAATTTTATAGGAAATTAAGAATGCAGTTAGCTGACCATTAGTAGGAGTCTACATGTATGACTGAAAAGTACATACTTAGCTTGAAATTAGTTTTTATTTCAAAGGAAAAATAAGTAAAGAATTTGCTTTCTTCTGAGAACTTAAGATATATTACCTCATGATTTTATGTGTCTATCGGGCTCTTTTTTCTTTACTAAAATTTTTACGTCTGGTCCAGTTGAAATATACCTTTGACTTAAAAAACACACTGAAAAATATAGCCTCTGTGCTGTTTTATTGGTTTGTTTTGGGGATGATATATAATCATATTTTTTTCCCATTTGCTTGTAAAACTTACTGGATGTCATTCTGATATGAGTGGTGATAGCAAAAGGTTCACAAGAAATTTCTCTTGACTACGAGAAAGTTAAAACTAATGTAGTAGACCATGACTCCTGAGCTAGTCCACCAATAGTTTAAGTCCCCTTTCCAACAGTTAGTACCTTTATAATATTAATTAAGCTGCTGATTCTCGGTGTAAAATGAACATAACAATAGTAAATACCTAATTTTTTTGACAGAGATTAAATGATTAATACTCTCAGGGTGAATGGTTCCTTCCCAACTGATGGCACTTAAGATTTCACTTAATCATACCATTGAGAAGAGCATTCCCATCAGAATCTGTCTTTATGTGAGACAATGCTTAGTGACAACGCCTAGTCTCATTAACAGATGAGGCATGACTGACTCCTGCAGGTCAGTACGTGATTGAAGAGAATTAGTTCACGTCACGCTAATGAACTTGGGCCTGAAAAATCCAAGCCAGCAGTTCTGAAGGCATGAAATTGAGACAGGTGGATGGACAGATGAAAATAGTTCTGATGAGGCATTTATTAAGGGCAGCCTTGGGCAAAGCATACAAAGGACTCGCTTCAAGTGAAGTCAGAGGTGGCCAACTCTTCAAATAGCCAGTCTTTCTGAAATGTAAATGCCCTGACCTATTGTACCTCTGAGGCAAAACCAAGAATCTGTTTCAGCAAGTTGCTCAGATTATCCAATTCACGACAAGGTTTAAGAAACATTACATAAAAGCTATGTGTTCTGTACAGGGAAGTGGGCCCATGCCATGCCAAAGATAATTATCTGCCACCTGTAAAGCCAGTTTTCCATAAGAGTGCCAGTTCTTGGCACAGCTGTACTGATGATTCAGGACCCCTGTCAGTAAGCTAGTAGACACAGATGCATTTCCAAGCTTCCAGGTTTGATCTAAATATCCCAAGCTTATAAGGACGTATATGGGATAAACGAATGTGTGGACAATCTCCTTTTCTCTCAATCTCTTCCTTTCTGTAACTTTGACTTTCTAGTAAATAAGTTATTTTCTAAAATTTTATCTACTTTAAGTTTTATTTATTTATTTTATTATTCCATGGTACAGTTCCATGGACTCTTGGAGTTCCCTCCCCAAATCCCTCCCCTTCACTAATTTCCCCCATCTCATTACTTTAGTACAGTCTTTCACAATCAATCAAAAGTCCATCATTTTGCTACTTAAGTGCATTCTGACCCTGAGGGCTTGGATCATGGAAGAGTCCAGCATCCTATTGTGAAGATACATCCAAAAGTTTCATTGGAATTCCAACTTTGAAGTTGAGATGCACACTGCATTGTAAGTGATCATTTGTAAGTGATCATCTGTAAGTGATCATTTCTATTACATATTTGCTATACATCCCTTTAATGAAAAGCCATAAAACAAAATCAACAACATGGAAGAATGGAAATTTTTACAACATGAAATTAAATAACATGTTATTGAATGACCAATGTGTAGCTGGAAAACCGAAAAAGAAAATCAAAACTTTCCTCAAGCAAATGATCCTATTGTGTGACCTATGAGTCAGGGAGGAAATTAATAAGAAAAACATAAGAGACCGCAAAAAAAACCAAAGCTATCCTGAAGAATAAAAAGCAGGCAGGAAAAACCATGATTCCAGACCTCAAGATATGCTACAAAGCAGTGGTCATCAAAACAGTCTGAATCTGGTACAGAGATAGTGAAGATCAATGGAACAGAATAGAAACTCCAGAGGGGAGCCCACACATGTACAGCCAATTAATCTTCAATAAAAGAACTGAAAAGTCCAGGGGAAAAGTCCAGTCTCTTCAACAAATGCTGTTGGGACAACTGGATAGTAGCCCGCAAAAGAAGCAAGGTGCCCACCTGTCACCTCATGTAAACATCAGCTCAAAATGGAACAAGTACATAAATCTGCACCCAGAAACGATCACATTATCAAGGAAAACATAGCAAGCACTCTCCCAACTAGGGATGATTTTGCTCAGTGAAACAAGTCAATCCTCAAAGGACAAATATCACGTGTTCTCTCTAACATAAGAAAACCTTCATGCAAAATACAAGCCCTTCCAGTATTATTCATGCTACATCTCAACAGGTTGATATTTTTGTCTTTCATTCATTCAAATTAAGTTTCTGTAACTATTTTTAGCAAAGGAAATCAAATGTATAACTGAACCATAAAATTAGCTGTCACAGAATATTTGTGTTATTGCATTCGTTATATCTAATGCAATGCTGTTATTCAGTAGTTGTTTACCAAATAAGGTAGACAATAAAATGTTTAGATAAATCCAATACCAAAAAAAATGATATAAAAATGATCTTTTCTAAATGTGTCAAGAGATTCTAAGGTAGATTTACATGGTGTATTCTAACTGAAAATAAAACATTTTAACCACTGTTATATGTCCACAAATGTAAAAATTACAATATAAATGGAAATAATATCTGAAGTTAATATATAACTCTTTCCTCACTAAATTACCAATGTGAGTAAATGATGGGCTTTGATATTACATGTTTCAAAGTTTGTTTCATGTTCCTGAATTACCTGTGATTTCACAACAAAACTCGAGGTTTCAAGCAAAAGTCGTTGTAGTCATTTTAAAAATTTGATTACCAGATAAAATACTATATGTTATTTTATGAAGATACAGCTTTCTTACAGTGCAGTTGTTTGGTTACTGGTAATGTGTGGAGAACTTGGTGGAACTATCATTGCACAAGGAAAAAATAAGATGGATTAAGGCACATTTAAATTACACTGGAATTGAAAGACTGAACAACAGAAAAAGCAAGTTCGACATCCTTGAAAGTCTTCAATTTAAGAAAAGAAAATCTGTTCTGATCTAACATACACTACACAACTGAAGATATTACTACTGAATCAAGTGAGACAAATTGTACCATTCTACCTTATTCAGCTCTAAATGAATTTATTTTTCCTTGTAGTGCAGGGGTAGAGAACTGACAGTTTTAGGAACTGACTAGTTCCAAGAATGAACCTGTTAGTGAAAACCTGCCACCCACAGCACTCCATAAGTATTACTTCGAGGGCATGAGGTTACAAATAAAAATGTAACTCTACTTTCAATGCTTACTCAATCATTTAGAATTCAGCAGTAGCCATTTCTCTTTCAATTAATGCTTTCTCATAGAAAGTTAGGCTTTTTCATAAAATCCAAGGTGAAATGATGTCTTCTCTCATTTTCTCCCTTTTGTATTTTGAGACTCCACTTCACTGGTCCATCATGTTCCTTAGGATATCTGCTAGAATGCGAGCTCAGCGAAGGAAGGGATCACTTCCCGGTCAACGACTTAGTGCCTAAAGTTCCACAGACCCTATCACTTAGTCAATGAATTAAGCTATGTGTGTGTGTGGATATATATATACATAATATTTTTATTACTAGCTACCATGTTGCTTCCCTACTTAACTTAAAATAACCCAAATAGCAGCAAAAATACTCTATCTACATTTTTATCTCTAAATTCTACCTCAGTATTTCTTGTACAATAATTATCTGTTGATAATGTTGTTGAGCAAATGCTGAATGTGAAGACAATGTCCTTTTTTTAACATTATTTTTTTTGGAAAGGCAGATCAGAGCTATGGAGAGAAGGATAGATGGAGAGAAAGAATTTCCATTTCCTGGTTGTTCATTCGTCAAATCAATGCAAGCTGTTCCAATCTAAAGCCAGGATTTAGTAGCTTCTTCTAGGTATACCATGTATGTGCAGGGTCTCACTGCTTCGGCTCATCCTTGATGGCTTTCCCAGGCCACCAACAGGGAGCTGGATGGGAGGTGAAGCAGCCAAGAAACAAACCTATGCCTATTTGGGATCCTGGCATTTGGACTGAAAGATTAGCCAATTGTGTTATCGCACTGTGCCCAAGAAAATGCATTTTTGAGAAATAATATTATTTTAAACATAGGTCTACAAAACATTCAAAAATTATTTTGTCAAAGTCATCAGCAAATGCTATTTGTTTTACTTTTTTGATTCAATTCAATTACACTCACATAAAATTCTAAAAAGTAAAAACAGAAGAGGTTTTATTAACGGTAATAATAAATAGATTGGATTAACAAATACCCTGAGAGTCCCATCAAAATGACTACATAAAATTTTATAGAAGGTTTCATGAATATACTTAGACCCTACCTGAGCATAATAGTTTCAGTTTCTGAAGTGCTGAGTCCATTTTATGAAAAAAAAGAAAAAACACCAAAAACTGTAGGTTGGTAATCTCTCTTGGAATGTGT